TGAGATTTTACTGTGTGATTCTAACTTTTGCTGCAAACCAAATTGCCCTCCGGGGACATTAAAGATGTTCAAAGTCAAAGTCAAAGTCAAAGTCACTATACTCTACATGTTATGGAGTATTTTGCGGTATTGTAAGTATTAATAGTATTACCTAAGCGTCTGAATACTTCAGTTGTCTACGGTCACTGTCAAATATACATTTAAACAGGCTGTAAACTGTGTATAATATACACAGATATGTGTGGTTTTGCAAGTAAAAATTGTGTTTTTATTCAACAATGCATCACACTGAACCTGTTTTAGATCAAACAAATGCAGTAAATTCACTGCACAACTGACTTGCTCTCTGTCTGGTTGTTTACCTGTGCAGGTTGTAACTATCGCCGTTTACTCGTTCTTTGCCTTCTGTGTTATTGGCCGACAATTCCTGAATCCTAAGAAAGGATACGCGGATCACAAGCTGGACATGTACGTCCCTGTTTTCACTCTGCTGCAGTTCTTCTTCTACACCGGCTGGCTCAAGGTGAGTCTCCTGCTTACAGTTTAGGGCTCAGAATCTGTTTTCTTGCCAAGTAGGTTTAACATGTGTAGAGTCTGATGTTGGTGCATTTCATTAAACACTAACAAACAGAGAATTCATGAAGAAGGACAAAAAAGATTTTCAAAAAGCAAGCCTTGCAAGTCAATAGACAGAAAGTGTTACAAGATAAATAGGATGCAGACATCCTCTTTACCACATTTCAGAGGGAAATGTTGTTTTTGTTTAAATTCACTGTTTTAAATCAGCAGTTTTTGCAGCAGGTTACTTTCAGTTTAACACTTTAATTTAAAGATTCTGTTACATGAAAGGGATGTGATGAACTCATTGACATACATGACCTCTTTTCAGAGTAACACTTTAATATTAAGATTTTGTAAGATTTTAAATAAATAAAAAGCTGATTAATACAGTTAATAAAGATTAAATCAGTGGTTTCAAAACATGTCATGGGACAAGTTACAAAAAACTGTCAATTTCTTTCTTTCTTTCTTGTTTTGCATGGTTGCATTTGAATAACTGAAATGAATGTAATGATTCATATATATTATCAGAATTTTAGATAATTACCCCATGACCCCCCTAGAGTCACATAGTGACCCTTTGGAGGGCCGTGACCCCCAGGTTGGGAACCACTGCACTAAACTAACTGAATATAAAGTCGTATGAAGCAGCTGCTTCAGTGAATTTCTGCTGAAGCTTTGAAGCACCAGGATTAATAACATCTGCAGAACGAGTACTTTTATTGTGAAGAATACATTTTGCTGAGAGGATCATTGCTCTTGTAGAACCAGAGAAACTGAAATGCATGTTTCTGCTCTGCAGGTGGGAGAACTGATCATCAATCCATTTGGCGAAGACGATGACGACTTTGAAACCAACCAGCTGATTGACAGAAACATTCAGGTTTTTCCCCTCAAGGCTTCGCTCAGAAACATTACAGACATTTAGAATAAAGTAAAAGATAAGATGAAGTGTGTCGCTGCCTCCTGCAGGTGTCCATGCTGGCTGTGGACGACATGTACCAGAACTTGGCTCCGATTGTGAAGGACAAGCACTGGAAGCAGAGACACTTTTCTGTCCCGTACACTCTTTCAACGGCAGCAGAGAGCCTCAGGCCGGCGTTCAAAGGCTCCACCTTCGACATGAGGTAAACCAACACAGAGAGTAACTGA